TTAGCTGATTAGAGTGTGACACCATGAGTCTACAATATTTGAACTTTTTCACAATATTTTAATTTTATGCAATACTGAATTTTGGGTTTTCACTAGCTGTAAGCCATAATCATCAAAATTAAAAGAAAGAAATGCTTGAAATATATCACTCTGTGTGTAATGAATCTATATATTATATGAGTTTCACTTTTTGAATTGAATTACTGAAATAAATTAACTTTTTGATGGTGTTCTAACTTATTGAGATGCACCTGTAGTGTAGGCGTTGGCCAGCTGAAGTATGTTATACAATTAGGTCCATCTATATTTGGACACAGGCACAATTTTAGTTTTTTCAGGTATTTACCAAAACATATTCAAGCTATAGTCATATAATGGATATGGGCTCAAAGTGCATACTCTCAGGTTTATTTTGAGGGTATGTACATCCAAATTGGAGAAAAGGTTTGGGAATTACAGCTCTTAAAAGTAGCCATCCCCCCTTTTTCAAGGGACCAAAAGTAATTGGACAAATGAATAAAAAAACTGTTTCATGGCCAGGTGTTATTTCTTCATCAACTAAGCAGGTAAAAGGTCTGGAGTTGATTCTAAGTGTGGTATTTGGAATCTATTGCTCTGAACCTACATCATGCGGTCAAAGGAGCTGTCCATAAGTGAAACAGGCCATTGTAAGGCTTCAAAAACAAAACAAATCCATTAAAGAGATAGCAGCAACATTAGGAGTAGCCAAATCAACAGTTTGGTACATTCTGAGGAAAGAAGAACGCACTGGTGAGCTCAGTAACATAAAGAGGCATGGACGTCCACGGAAGACCGGTGGATGATCGCAGGATCCTCTCTATGGTAAAGAAAAACCCATTCACAACATTCAGACAAGTGAAGGACACTCTCCAGGAGGTGGGCATATCATTGTCAAAGTCTACAATCAAGAGAAGACTTCACGAGAGCAAATACAGAGGGTTCACCACAAGGTGCAAACCATTCATAAGCCTGAAGAATAGAAAAGCCAGATTACACTTTGCCCAAAAACATCTAAAAAAGCCAGACAAGTTCTAGAAAAGCATTCTTTGGACGGATGAAACTAAGATTAATCTGTACCAGAATGACGGGTAGAAAAATGTGTGGGGAAGGCTTGGAACAGCTCATGATCCAAAGCACACAACGTCGTCTGTAGAACAAGGTGGAGGCAGTGTGATGGCATGGGCATGCATGGCTTCCAGTGGCACTAGGTCATTGGTGTTTATTGATGATGTGACAGAAGACAGAAGCAGCTGGATAAATTCTGCAGTGTTTAGAGAGATACTGTCAGCCCAGATTCAGCCAAAATACAGCAAAGTTGATTGGACAGCGGTTCACAGTACAGATGGACAATGATCCAAAACACACTGTAAAAGCAACCCAGGAGCTTTTGAAGGAAAAGAAGTGGAATATTCTGCAATGGCCAAGTCAGTCACCTGATCTCAACCCAATTGAGCATGCATTTCACTTGCTGAAGGCAAAACTAAAGGCAGCAAGACCCACAAACAAAGAGCAACTGAACACAGCTGCAGTTAGAGCCTGGCAAAGCATCAGAAAGGAGGAAACCCAGTCTTTGGTAATGTCCATGCGTTCCAGACTTCAGGCAGTCATTGCCAGTAAAGGATTCTCAACAAAATATTAAAAATGAACATTTTATTTATGATTATATTCAATTGTCTAATTACTTTTGGTCCCTTGAAAAAGGGGGGATGGCTACTCTTAAGAGCTGTAATTCGTAAACTCTTCCTCCAATGTGGATGTACATACCCTCAAATTAAACCTGAGAGTGTGCACTTTCAGCCCATATCCATTATATAACTATAGCTTGAATATGTTCTGGTAAATACCTGAAAAAATCTAAAATTGTGCCTGTATCCAAATATATATGGACCTAACTGTAAGTATAAGTAACTTGCATTTTGCAAATTGGCCAGCTTAAACATGTATTGTGATGTATACGAACCAAAAACCCAAGTTTGCTGGAAAGGTTTAAGAGCGTATTGCATTGAGATTGATTCAGGTTTTTTTTTTAGTGTTAACATGTGACCACACCCCTTTAGTAACCAATGGGATATATATATATATATATATATATATATATATATATATATATATATGTGTGCTTTTAACTGTCTCTGCTCAGCAAAACAGCAGTGAATAGACTCTAGCACAGACACCCTGACAGTGTCTGCAAACATTAAACTAGTGAATTAATTACTTTGCGACCGCCCACCTGCCTGTAATGTACTCCGGGTGAGCGGCTGTTGTAGGCAAATTGACGTACTCCTACATTGCTGCTTACTTACCAGGTTTAGGGCGTATGCATGATCGTCTCTGCTCGACACCCCCTGTGATTGTACACAGCAGGAGACTGTCAGCGTATCCCAGCCAATCATTTATGGCCAGGACCTGCTGATCGACTGTGTACAATCACAGCGCAAAGCTCTGTGCTGGTAAACAACACAGAGCTCTGTACAAAGGGAGCGATCTGTCAGTTTCTCATCCCTGCAAAGCAGGGATGAAAAACTGTGAGAGATATAGTAGTTTTGTGCAAACCAATCAATAAGCACTTATTTGGATTTTTTTTTTTTTATTGAGAACCTGTAGCAGAATACATTTTGGCCAAAATTTATGAAGAAATTAGATTTTTTTTTAATTGAATGTGTTTTATAGCAGAAAGTAAAAAATAGTGGTGGTTTTTCAACATTTTTGGTATTTTTTCGTTTATATCGCAAAAGATAAAAAACCCAGGGGTGATCATATACCACCAAAAGAAAGCTCTATTTGTGTGAAAAATAATTATATAAATTTAGTCTGGATACAGCGTTGCATGACCACACAATTACCAGTTAAAATAGTACAGTGCCGAATGGCAAAAAGATGGCCTGGTCATGAAGGGGTAAAACTTTCCATGGTTAAAGTGCTGGTTCACCTTTTTTACAAAATATGAAAAGGTAAACACGGAACAGCCTTCCCATTCCCCAGACTCCACTGTACTTACCTCTGGGGATGCTGAGCTGTCAGATCCCAAGAAGTTGGTCAAGTGGTTCAGAGATTTTAGGATGGACCAGAACAATTCACTGTGCAGGCACTGACCAATCAGAATTCCTGAAAGAGACTGTTTACAAGTCATTAAGTCAGCTCTTAAACAGAAATGGCTGCAGCCATTGACCAAGGAAAAGTTTCCAACATATCCCATGTTTTTGAAGATGAAGTTGGTTGTAAGGTTCAATTGTGTAGCCACTTTACATATTTACTCTGGATTAGCACCAGCTCTTTTACATTAGGTGGTTTCCAAAGCTCTGGTGGAATGCACAGAGAACCACAATGGAGAATCCAAATTCATAATTACACCAGTTTCTAATAGACAATCTTAGCAATCAGGCTATGGAATTTATTGATGCTCTTTGGACCTTCTTAGTACCAGCAAACAAGATGAATAGGAAGTCTTAACTCCTTAGTTACCTCAAAATAGTGTAGCATGCATCTTACATGAGCGTAGTGATTGCAAGCTGGATTGGGACAGAATGTCGAAAGAACCTGAGCACAATACTAAATAGAGTACACCTTGGACAAAACTCAGGATCAGTCCTCAGAATAACAGAGAAGAAGACGCCCAGATGGATAATCCTTGCAGCTCACTGATATGGTGGAATGGTTCAAAAGGCTCTTTAGTTAAAGCCTGCATGACTACTGAAGGTCCCATTTAGAAAAAAAAAAGACCTCAAGACCAATGGCCCAGCTCTGGCTAATTTTCTAAAAAATTCTGGAGACTTATGGATCGTAAGGTAAAGTCTTTTCCAAAAATACATTTAAGGCTGCCACCTTTTCCCTAAGGGTGCCTTATGGCTAAAAGCTTACTACCTCCATCCTGTAAAAGATCCCAATACAGAAATGGGATTTTCTTTTCATGTAATATTAAGAACTGAAAACTCTCCATACTTTCCCATTTAAAGCCCTGGTTACTTCCTACGACTTGACAAGGTGGACACAAGTTGGTCAGAAAGTCACTACACTTAAGGCAACTATTGAGCACTGTGGATAACAGCTTTTAAAATCTTTTGTGGATGACAAAGTGGAGCCTGAGAAAGTAAGTCCTCTCTGAAGGGTAAAGTCCAAGGAGGCTGCGCTGAGTGACAAAAGGTAATATTATTTCAACCTGTAGCATCTTTAGAACAAATGGAATATGCAGAAACAGGGGAAAGGCAAAGCACTGCTGGCGTTCCCACACATGGGCCAAGGCATTGATTCATGGCTTCTTTCCCTCTGCTTGGGGAAAAGAATGTGGGCACTCTTGTGGTTTGTGAACACATTCACATACAACAAACGAGAGTTGTATCTGATTATTGTAAATACTTCCTGATTTAAATCCCATACAAATTCTAGCCTGTTTAAGAATTTGACAACTGGATTGATAGTTCTATTCAGGTGAACTTCCCTTTCTGCTAGATGCAGGAAAACTGTTACTGGTGCCCCCTGTTTAGACATGCATTCCACTGTTGTGGCACTGTTTGCTAATACAGTGACTTGCTGTTTTGATGAAACGATATTAGAGCTAGAGCAATCCCAAAAAAAAACTTTTTTCAGGTTCTAGGGATCCCTTAACAGCCAGAAACATTTATTTAACTGTCTAGGCTTTGTTAGAGAATTCGGAGATTTGGCCTGCTGATTCCTAACTTTAAGAATACATTTCTGAAGAGTGCATGTGAAAATGTGCCCACTGTATTGCTAGGATCAAGGAAGTCAACAGACCTTGTGCTGATATTGCCAATCCTAGAGACAGAATTTGATTGTATTGAAGCAACTGTATGGTTGTAGCGTTGCATTCTTTTCATCTGGAAGAAAAATCCTTTGCTGGATAGAATCAGTGTAGCACAGAAAAAGTACAACTGCAGAGGGAGAGAAATTTGACTTCTGAAATACTTTTTTTTTTAAACAAGTTTATAGAGCATATACTATGTTGCTAAAAGTATTGGGACACCCCTCCAAATCATTGGATTCAGGTGTTCCAATCACCTCCATGGCCACAGGTGTATAAAATCAAGCACCTAGGCATTCAGACTGCTTCTACAAAACATATGTGAAATGGGTTACTCTCAGGAGCTCAGTGAATTCAAGCGTGGTTCTGTGATAGGTTGCCACCTGTGCAATAAGTCCAGCCGTGAAATTTCCTTGCTACTAAATATTCCCTGGTCAACTATTAGTGGTATTATAACAAAGTGGAAACAACTGGGAACAACAGCAACTCAACCATGAAGTGGTAGGCCACGTAAAATGACAGAGTGAGGCCAGTGCATGCTGAAGCGCACACTGTGCAGAAATCACCAACTGTCTGCAGAGTCAATAGCTAAAGACCTCCAAACTTATGTGGTCTTCAGATCAGCACAACAACAGTGCGTAGAGACCTGAATTGAATGGGTTTCCAAGGCTGAGTAGCTGCATCCAAGCCTTACATCACCAAGTGCAATGCAAAGCGTTGGATGCAGTGGTGTAAAGCATGCCTCCACTGGACTCTAGAGCAGTGAAGTGTTCTCTGGAGTGATGAATCACGCTTCTCTTTCTGGCAATCCAATAGACGTGTCTGGGTTTGGCAGTTGCCAGAACGGTACTTGCCTGACTGCATTGTGCCTAGTGTAACGTTGTGGACGGGGGGATTATGATATGGGGTTGTTTTTCACAGGTTGGGCTTGGATCCTTATTTCCAGTGAGGGGAACTCTTAAGGCGTCAGCATACCAAGACATTTTTGACAATTTTATGCTCACAACTTTGTGGGAACAGTTTGGGGATGGTCCCTTCCTGTTCCAACATGACTGCGCACCAGTGCACAAAGCAAGGTCCATAAAGACATGGATGACCAAGTTTGGGATGGACGAACTTGACTGGCCTGCAAAGAGTCCTGACTTCAACTCGATAGAACACCTTTGGAATGAATTAGAGCAGAAACTGAGAGCCAGACCTTCTCCTCCGACATCAGTGCCCAACGTCACAAATGTGCTTCTGGAAGAATGGTCAAACATTCCCATAGACACACACACCTTGTGGACAGCCACCCCAGAAGAAGTTGAAGCTATTATAGCTGCAAAGGGTGGGCCAAATCAGTATTGAACCTTATGGACTAAGACTGGGATGCCATTAAAGTTCATGTGCGTGTAAAGGCAGGCATCCTAATAGTTTTGGCAATATAGTGTATATTTGTCTAGGAGCAAAGGAAAATAGGGGAGAAGGAAAGAGAAGCAGCAATGAATCTATTACAATATTTGCATTTAAGACTTAAGCTATGCCGTACAGCTATCCATTCTGTTTGTCTATGTATATAGGTAATAAACATACTCTATAGAGAGCAGATCTACACTGTGGACCATCTTTTCCTTATGCAGGGCACATAAGTTTTTTTTTCATTCAACCCAGGGAGCTGTACACACAGGCCGAAAGTCTGCCAGTTCCTGCCAAACCAACTGTTTTCACTCGATTTTTGGCCTGTATGTACCTAACCTTAAAGAGGGATGAAGGAGGAGTGAGTAGTAGAGGTCAGGGGAAGATTACAGGTAAAGATGGGGGTGGGGTTCTTGGATCATCCTGTGGCTCTCGTAAGGGGAGCTATATCTATATTCTTAAAGATTGTACAAAATTTATTTACAATGTCAAAAGGAGTTATTGACTAATATTCTATACCACATGCTTCAATTCAAACTGCCCAGATTTAGTCAATTGTTTTGGTGCAGTTGTGTCCCATGTAGGTAAGTTTGTAGAGAGAGCTGCATTAATAGTCAATCTCCACAAATGTACTGTAGGTGGGGTAGAGAGTTTCCATCTAAGGAAAACTGCTCACCTAGCATAAAATGCAGCATAGAAAATTAACAACTTTCAGTGATGGGTTGTATCAACATTACAGCTTATGCCCAGGAGCATGAATAGGAGTTCCATTCCCAGTTCTTCTGAAAGATTTAGCTTCTGATTCAGTTTCTGAAAGATTTAGCAGTCATTTAGCATCAATCTGCTGTCAGTTGTTTCTCTGAAGCAGCAAATAACAGCAAAACTTCCAGATACAGAATCTCCCTTCAAACATAAGGGGGCTAAATCCTCTACCATCAACCTTGTAAAAATTCTCAGTGTGGAAGACAGACTGAAAATGCCTCTGTTCTTCCTTCTGTGCGGACACGAGATGGGAATAGGAAGGTAACTATCAAACCTCTCCTCTACTTCCCAAACTTCCTGGCTAGGTTAAATGGCGGAAGCTTGAGGAAATAGTGTAAATCCCCCTTGATAAACCAAGAACTGGGAGAAAGGTATAGTAGACAACATAGTACAGCAGGTTAGGATGGTAGCAGAAAACATAAACAGGAAAGGATGCAAGACAGCTTCATAGTGCTGCAAAGGTGTGACTGTTATTTCCAACCAACCAGAATACACTTTGTTCTTACATGCTGATCACTCCTCATATGCTCATGAGTGCAGTTCCTACTATGTTTTTATAATGTGTACCTAATCCAATAAATCTTTGCTACACTATGAGGCTGTCTCGTGTCCTATGTTTTTTGCTGATTTTGGTCCCCCATTCTGGTTCTAAGTGTAAGCAAAGCTATTCGCTAGTAATAATCATTCATTATTTAACACACAGCATGATCTCTGGGATTTTCTATTCACTATGAGACATGTTGCTTGATGGCTTCATAAATTGTTTCTTTATTTGTTTTTCTTTAGATTCATTATACATTAGTGTGATTCCAGATGCAACTTCAGTTGTGTAGAATCACATGACAATGGAAATCACATTGTTTTCAATGGTTCTCATTCACACAATGCAACTCAACACTGTAAGGTTTTGGAAAAGGTTCCTGTACTACTTTGGTACATTTCCAGTGTCATTTTGGCCTCATAGAACCACATCCGAGTTGTACTACATAAGCACACCAAAAATCGGATCAAAACAGATTGCAGCAGTGTGAACCTAGCCTCTCTCTCATAGTCATTGATCTCTTGCTAATGATATAACATAAATATAAATTAGTGTAGCGCTATACATGCACAAACTATTGTAATCCAATATATTGACTTCGTGATAGATGCTATACTCTTCTCAGTGTTCTTATATACCCCTTACTTCATGTATGTATATTACAAATCCCCAAAGTCAATACAAACTCCTATTGCATTAATTAAATAGATATCTAAACAATGTGATAGTGCCGCTTCAAAACAATATAAATCAATATCTAATATGCCACTTTACTACATATATGTATAGTCCACATCCCCCAAAATCAATACAAACTCCTATTGCATTAATTAAATAAACATATAAATACTGTGATAGTGCCGCTTCAAACCAATATAAATCAATAACATGTGATGGTGCCACTTCAAACTGATTCAACGTCCAATGTCCAAATCCAAACGGATCTATTCCAAGTGATATTTAAATACATGCAATGTGTCTTTATATATCAAGTGCCACTCGTGAATAAACCACACTCTTTCCACTTCAGCTGCAATGCCCGCTCACCTCCTTTCAGTGACCCCTAAGGGCCCACAAGCCTTTAGGATCACTTTGGATCCTCAAGAATCCTGGTTTGGTACCTCTCAGATATTCCTCCTATTTGGCCTCCTCCACACCTCCACTGCTGTGCCTCATAGGATCCTCACCAGCGATTCTCTGCAAACTCTCTCTCACAAATAGTGAGTCAAAAACAGAGATCCTCCATAGTGTAGTATTTCCAATAACCAGGGTTTAATTGTAGAAGTAACAAAAGGTAACTTACATGTGTTTGTACAGCGATTCTTCTGACCCTATATGGGTAAACTGCACACATGTGTTTGAGCTTCCTGATAACCAGGAAAATGGCGTCCCGCACCGGAAGTGCGACACTTCGGATACGGGAAGTTACGTCTTAGCGTGCCTACGCGTTACGTCACGTGGTCTCGTGACTTCCTCGGGGTCCTTAATCTCATTAACAGATAATGAGATTAAGGTTCTTGATAAAGGTCTAAAGTTCGCCCCAAAAGGTAATTTGAATAAATTTGATGCCTATATTGATATCAATAAATATATTAGAAAATTGAATATTAAAAAATATTTTGCATCTCTACCAGGCCCCACCACCCTATCAAACATAAATAGTGGATCTACTTTTGTTCATAGCAACCTTAAGAATAAGTCCACTTTTAATCCGATTAATTCAAAGAATCAGAACATAGAGGTCTTTAAACAAATGGTAATAGAAGATTTTCAGAGATTACAAATATTTAAGATTATGGAAGAGAAATCGATTTTTCAGGGCGTGAATGCCCTGAAAAAAGAAAAAAATATAGTTATTAGACCAGCGGATAAGGGGGGAGGGGTGGTGGTGATGGATAGAAAACAATATGAAGAAGAGATGGAATATATTTTAAGTGATTCAGACACATATGTTAAAATTTTAAAAAATCCGAGTGTTTTATATAAAAAGCAGTTAAAAAAACTAGTGAATCAAGCAAAAGATAACAAAATTTTAAATGATAAAGAAGCGTTATACTTAATACCTTTACATTGTAGAACCCCGTTTATTTATATTTTACCGAAAATACATAAAAGTTTGACAAAACCCCCAGGTAGGCCAATCATAAACGGCATTGGGTCAATTCATTCGAGAATTGGGGAATATGCGGATTTTTATCTGCAGCCTATTGTGAAGGGAATGCCGTCATATTTGAAGGATAGTCGAGATGTAATAGACCTACTGGAAGGAATGGAGACTACACAGAATACTCTGTTTGTAACAATAGATATTAATTCTCTCTTTATACTAATATTAGACATCAAGATGGGATTGAGGCTGTGAAATGGGGTCTGAAGAATTTTTCGGACCTACATTTAAAACAGAGGAAGTTTATTATTCAATTGCTCGAGTTTAGCATGAGTAAAAACTTTTTTTGGTATAAAGGGGAGTTCTATGAACAAAGGAAAGGCGTGGCGATGGGCGCCAAGTTTGCCCCCAGTGTGGCAAATATCCTTTTATCTAAATGGGAAGATAAGATCATTT